CTGAACGTGCTAGTGTCTGCAGTACACACAGGCTGGAGGCACACCCTAGGTGTACCAGTGTCTGCAGAAGCACGATTGTGCTCAGACAGGAGCATCTTACGTGAACATTACACACTGAACGATTTTAAATTGATGTGGAAGAAGAAAACAAAAAACGCCCAGGTAAATTATAAAACCGAACACCACGTGGGGCATCAGGTATACTACAGAGTAGAGGAACAGCAGAGAATATATGCAAGAACCCAGGAGAGCAACTACAATGCAATCTAGAAGCAATGCCTAAGCAAGTGAGATTACGAGCAAAACACATCTCAGTCTTTAACCTGTGGAAGTAAACACAATCCTATCTGCCATCACCAACCATCAAGTCCAAAATGACATGATTTTCCCATGACACTGTGGAATTTACAAGAATTTCAATATAAAATGCATGTATCACGTGCTCTATACAGCTACCTTATGAGACAAGCAAGATGTTCTGAGGAAACAGGGCCTCAGTCGTTACATGAGGTCACAAAGCTAATAAGGGCTCCACCCAAGTTTTCTGACTCTAAGCCCAACACTTAACTGTAATTTAGATAGACAGGTCTTTAGGATAATCAAGGGAATCAGAGCAACAATTAACACAGAGAAAGCCAAACTCAAGGAACGAATTTATATTATCTCAGAAATATGCAGCTAAGCAGATGAACTAATTCTTCGCGTGGACTTGATTTGGAGATAATGTTGATGATCATCAACAAATCATCTTGTCAGTTCAAAGCAAAACTCCCGATCTTCAACTCGCTGAAAAACGTATACCTCTTGGAAACCGGGAGCAGAAAAGGTAAGGCCTCTCCTGGACCGGGACACGTCCACGGAATCGTGTCACTCCCTGATGTAAGCAAGACCCCTCTGTAGAGCTCATCTGCTTTCAGGAGCAAGTCTCAACCCCTCCCAGTTTTGCCTGAAACGCCAAAGCCAAATCCACTGGCTACAAGTCCATTCTGACTCACAGGAACTCCTGGAGAGAGAGAAAGAGGCGGCGCTCCGCTCCTGCAGAGTTCCAGTCTACCCCACACAGCCACTCTGAGTCAGAGCCAACTTGAGAGTAACGCGTTGTCGTTTTCCTATTTCCACACGAGCTGCAGACAATGAGAGCAGGTCCTGGAGGTCTAGCCTCAGCCTTCAAATCCTCCTCCTCTCCAGCGTGCAAGGCAGACACTCCAAATGATGTCAAGACGCCAGAGATGAAATAGATACCACCCACCCTGCCCGAACCATGCCTTCAGCTCACTCACTTCATCTCTCACCACCCTCTGCCCAGGTCAGGTTTGGGGGTTCCGTGTAGACTATCTGGGAGCCCTGGTGGCCCAGGGAATTACACGTTGGGGGGAGACCAAGCCGGCAAGGCAATCTGAAACCATCCGCCACTCCAAGGGAGCAAGACAGGCTTTCTACTCCTGTGAGTTACCATCTCGGAAACCCAGCGGGCAGGTCCACTCTGTCTGTCCTATGGGTCGCTATGAGTCGGCACTGACTCAGTGACGGCGAGTTTAGTTTGGGTTGATGGTCTATCTGCTGCCAAAACACCTTTGGCTTACCTGCCTCATTTGCACTCACCTTCAAGAGTTCAGGGGCCTCTCATGGAGGAAGCCCTCCCTAAGCAGGATGGCTGGAGCCCACACCCAAGCACAGGCGGGTCTGCCACTGCAGCTTGTGCTGGCATCAGCCAGCACTGACACCACACTTCACGGTGACCACCTGCTGCCTGTCCACCTCCTCCCAAGGCTGGAGCTCATGCCAACTGGAACCCTAATAGTCGGTGTGACCAAGGAATCTCCGCGTTGGCGCCCAAGCCGCCTCACCCTACCAGTGTCTCTCAGTGTGTGCACGGAACGTGCGGTTCAGCCACTGAATGAGCAGGATCGATTTGCTAATTTTAAAAACTCTGAAAGAACTGAATGGCAGGGGTTTGGACTTTGGAGGAGAACCAGGAGACAAGGAGAAACCTCACCATCTTCCTTTACAGACTGCCCCTTTCTAAAGCAACATAGACGTATTGCCTGCTCAAAAGTCAGATGTCTGTCAGCAATGGGTGCCCGTGAGGTGGGAGTGAAAGCAGCAGAAAGCCAAGGAGGGGCCTGCTGGCTGAGGTCCGAGCCCACCAGAGCAGAATGCCGGAGAGCCAGGTGGGCTCGCAGGGGCCGGGACTGGATGAATGCAGCCAGGGGAAGGCCAACTCGAAAAGTTGGCCAATTCTGACCTTGCTAACTGATACTCAGACTGAACCTGCGAAGGCAAGCTGCTCTCTGAACGGTCCCAGCCTGGAGACCCCACCAGGGTAATTCCACACGGTTGCTAGGGTTCACAAAAAGGGGCTCCCCAGCACCCACCACCACCACCAAGAGCAGGACAAAAGGGGCGTAGCAGTGGCCATGTGGCAGTAAGGCCAGATGCAGGCAGCCCTCCGGCATTCCGACAGGAGCGGAAACATTCAGGAAAGGAGTGGGGGACTGGGAAACACCAAGGGTGATAAGAAGAGTGCTATTTTGCTGCAAACGCACTTAAGGAAAATAGTGGAGAATGTGCCAGACCACCCAAATGGGTAAAACACTAAGCAAATGGCATGGACGTCTGACATCTCTCCCTGCAAAAAGGGTCTAACTGGAATCGCCAGCGCATTAACACCAATATGCCCCAAAGCTGTCAAGAATGCTGTCCACGGAACTCCCTGGCTCCAAAGGAAACGCTGTGCCAGTCACATCAAGGCAGAGTCTGCTAGTAAGAACAGCCAAGGTAGGTAGTAACCCAACTTGTGAAGTGAGCTTATCTGGGGGGCATCCAAACAACAGAGGAACTCAGCACTAATGCCACATGAGACTTCATCATTTCCAAGGGAGAAAGTGTGTAGATTTTTTAAAACGAGTACTTCTGTTTCATCACCTTGAGGGAAAACCCACAAGTTCTGCTGGAGATTTCCAGATGTGCAGCTGGTGATGCTGAAGCAATTTCCCACTCGAGCAATCTGTGACTTCCATGCACTACCAGGGGGAGGAAGCGTGCAAAAGCTAATGCTATATGTTACAGGGGGGCGGGCCGAGTTTAATCTTGAAGTGGGTCCTGTACTTTTTATTTGCATCCTTGGAAAACTAGGAAGAGGAAGGTCTCACATCTTCAGGAAAAAGAAAATAAAACCAACCCTGCATACCGAGCCTCCCCATGGGAACCTGAGCTTCTGTAGAGCACGATGAATATTTATCCCGGGGCCATAATGCACTACCAATTGAGACACAGGAGGAGTGAGCGTGGGTCCCTGCCGGCCCAGTGCGCCCGGCCTGGGAGGGAACAGCAATCAGGGTGACAGGTGCTGCGAGAGGCAAGGCAAGAGATTGTGCAAGCTGACAGGAGGGAATGTTCCATCCGGCCGGGCGGAAGGGCACACGATTGTGCAGCTGTGCCCCATACACGGGCACCCAGCAAGAGGGCAAGGGAGGCAGCGGTCCTGCCTACAGGCCACTGGCTGTGTGTGCAGGGTTTCCCAGGGAAGGAGACCCTGTCACCATACCATGAAGGTGAAGGTCCCTTAGCAACAAAGGGGAGAGGTGGCAGTAAACGCACACAGCCGCGGGGCTTACTCGGGACACTGGAAGTCAGGTGACTCTGGGCCCCTCTGCCCTGTCAGAAGTGGGAAGAGATCCAAGCAGGAAACAACAGATGAAGGGGACTGGCTTCCCAGGAGAATGTGGACACCCTTCGTAGGGCTTTGGACCTGGCTCTCTACAGGACAGTGTGGAGATGGTGAGGGGGAGAGGTGGGGCCAATGGCCCAGGTCAGTGAGTTCAAATGTCCCCACAGTCCTCCCGGACTTTTAGAGATTACTTAACATGGCCTTCGTCATCGGGGTGGAAAAGTGCATGTCAAATGAACGAGTAATTAAAAAACTACACAATTGTTCAACAGAACCTAAAGTAGCACTGGCCCCTGGGTTAACTGTAAAGCCCCTGGACAGCAGCTCCTGGTTTGGCCTCAGGAACATGATCACCCAACTCAACAGCGACCTCATCTAATCCTCCCCGAGCCAAAACTGTTATTCAGACAAGCAGGCTTTCCCTAAAGCTTGTCTTTTACGTGAGTTCTAACAAACTGTGCTAAAATGACCCTCCACCCCAAACTATCAAAGCCCTGCAACAGTCTGGCCTTAGCGCTAAACTGGCTAAACTGAAATATTTTGCACGGACGTTTTAAACATGCATCTCCTCTGACCAGGGATTCTACATCGATGAGTCTACTCCTAGGAAATCGTTAAGTCGGTGCTTCACATGCATATGGCTCAAGGATGTTCACTGTGCCACTTTCATGAGCTGAAAATTACGACAGGCGATGGGATTCGTTAAGCACATTATGCGCTCTATCAAGCAGCGGGAGGCAGCACCATCGTCAGAAAGACACGGATCTCAACTCTTCATCTCTACACGCTCTGCCTGACTGTGGGGCACAGACGTCCTGGCCCTGACCCGGCATAAAAAATATGAATTACTCTAAGAGCTATTTTTTAAAAAGACAAGTTTTATTACTGACATGAAAGATGCCTACTTCGTATATGAGGCATGAAACATGGTCTTTTCCATTCTTGGCTGGCTCTAAATGGCAAGGCAAACAGCTACATAGAAAAAGTCTGCAGAGACCCACACCACACATGCTCCGTATCTTGGAGTAGAAGGACTAGAAATAATAGTTGCTTCTTCTTTCTACTTCCCTAATTTCTTAATTTCTGCAGAGTCTCCGCTACTTTAAATCAAAGCCCCTGGATGTGTGTGTGTGTGTGCGTGCGCGCGCACGTAATTTCCGAATCAAAATATGAAATTTTTAAAAATCCATCAATGTGAGATTTTTGAGAATGGGACATCTGGAAGCTTTTGTATCATCAGGAAGCATTACCATGAAAGGAATGCATAAATATACAAAGCTTACCATTTTCTTAATAGGCTTAACAATATTTCCAAAATCGGCTTCCTTACCTTTTCCAGGACTAAGATTCTGGTCTATAAAGACCTTCAGTTCTCCATTGGCTTCAATTAGACCGGCCTGCAAAAAATAAACACAAGTTTACAGGTGGAATACCTAAAGGGTGTTTTTATAAACTACTCTGGTCAAAGGGCTTGGTGGAAAGTAAGTTCTTATACAGAAAAGCAGGGAAAAGGTAGCCATGTGCAACTCTGTTGAGAGGCAAGTGCTATTTTTTTCTGTTCCAGAAAGTCACTTGTGAGAAGCCCCAGGCTTTTCAGTGCGAAGTCAATGGTCAACCAACATGTGCCCCTTCAGAGGCCAACACTGCCTCCTGGGAAGCAAATGGATCTGGTCGCGATATGCTCAGTTGGTAAGTTATTTGGCTAAGATCAATTTGAAATTTTTTAGCCTTTACATTTTAAGCCCTTGGGATAAATGAAATACGGCTTTGCACTTTTTAGATTAGCAAGTAGATGCCAAACGGCCACCCCACAGGTGGGCAAAAGGCAGGGTGGATGAACACTGAACTGCTGGGAGAAGCGAAAATTAATTCTGTCTTTGTGGAAAGCAAGTGGGTAGGACGTATCTGGAGCAGAGTCGGCGCAGCCATGCTTTTTGGTAGAAAGGGTCAGCAGGGGTTTGGGGTCAGGCCACACGGGGCTTTCTGTCCCTTGGGGCACGGCAGGACAGCTCCCCATCGATTTCCCCATGCAGTCCCCAAGGGGGGCAATGCTACTACATACAGGCTCGCTCCAAGGGTAAGATGGGGTCAACTAGGCACACCTAGCAGAGTGCCAGGCCCTGGGGCCCCACATTCCCCACCCCCCACCCCCCCGGTTATCTGGGATGGCCTCCATTTACAGAGACTCTAAAAACATCTACCGGAAATGGCTCCAGCTTGCAGAATGCCACACAGCATTAAAAACTGAGAAAAACGTGAGCGACGATGGAAAATGCTCAAAACATAACATCAAATGGAAAGTATATCGACGAGGCACAAAGTACAATCCAAAGTGGTTACTGCCCGGTCAATTCTGACTTGTTTCCACTGCCGTGGCGTTGGTTCCAGCTGACAGCCACCCCGTAGGACAGGGACGAACTGCCCCCGTGGGCTTCTGAGACTGTAACTCTTCAGGGCAGTAGAAAGCCTCGTCTCTCTCCCCCGGAGTGGCTGGTAATCGATTTCGAACTGCTGACCTTACATTCAGCAGCACAACATGTAGCCACTATGCCACCAGGGCTCCTTCATAAGGCACCTTAGACGGCATTAAGTGGAAAGTAAAAACACACAGGCAAACGCATAGAAAAATGAAGCTGAAAAGAAATACCCCAAAATGTTACAAACAATCGTCTCTAAGTGGTTTGTCTTCTATTTGCCTGAATTTTCCATATCAAGAACTCAGGCTTTAATAAGCGTGCCCCTGGAATAGTCTAAAATGAATACCATTTGTATTTAGTTTCGTGTAATAACTGCTTTTCCTTGAATAAGCAGGACTCCCTCTTCCTCTACCCCCCTTAAGCTTCCTCTGACTGTCAGGGAGTATCCACGGTCCCGCCAGCAGCCCCACGGGAGACGGACGTGGCTTTCCACTCCTGTAAACCGTTAGTCTTGGAAACCCACAGGGTCCGTCACGGTGAGTCAGCAGTGACTCGATGGCAGTGATTTTGGGGTGTTGTTGTTTTTTTTTTGTTTCACAGCAGATTTGATCACCAAGGGGCTTCAAATCGTGCATGGAAAAATCCCATTACCTTTTTAATCCCATTTTCCCTGGAACTTTTTTTTTAAGTCATTTTATCGGGGATTTGTATAACTCTTATCACAATCCATACATACAACTATTGTGTCAAGAGCATTTGTACATTTGTTGTCCTCATCATTCTCAAAACATTTGCTTTCTACTTGAGCCCTTGGTATCAGCTGCTCATTTTTCTCCTCCCTTCCCCCTCCCTCATGATCCCTTGATAATTTATAAATTATTATTGTGTCATATCTTGGGCTGTTCGACATCTCCCTTCACTCACTTTTTTGTTGTCCGTCCCCCAGGGAGGAGGTTATATGTAGATCCTTGTAATCTTGGTTCACCCTTTCCACCCCGCCCTCCCTCCACCCTCCCAGTATTGCCACTCTCACCGCTGGTATCTGTCCTGGATTCCCTGTGTTTCCAGTTCCAGGAACTTTTTAAAACTCCCTGGTCTGTGCACACGCGCAACACACACACACACACACACACACACACTCATAAAGGGTTATCCTAGGACAATAATCTTAGCCAAATAATCCCTCCCTCTTCACCACTTCTAGATCTTTGTTTGACCTTCCAGGGACCCAAGGCAAGCAAAAGGCTAAAGAACCCAGGTGTTGGCCTGGCAGGAGCACCCCAAGAACATTCCCGGGGTGCAAAGCACACTACTGTCGCCTCCACACGTTCACCGGGCCAACGCTTTGAAAGCTAAAAGGAATGCATACAAAGTCAGACTGCTGCTCTCTGGATTTTCTGACTTGAGGATGTGTGAGCTCAAATAACCGTTTTATAAAGGAATCTTTGCCACACTTTCAAAACAGTCCTCTTTATCACACAATCCTTTTGTGGTCCCTGCACCCCACCCCCACCCCAGCCAAAAAAAAACCTTTTATTCCCTTCCTCCTCTTAGCAAAACGTAGGGTCCCAGGGGGCATTGATCTGAGTGAGGTTGGAGCCCAGGTCCTGGGAGATGACACACAAACACAGCTGTTCACTTCCAAGATCAGGCAGGGGTGACCTAGGACGTTCGAAAGCACAGCATTCGAACTATGGTTACTGTGAAACTCCCCTCATTGCAGGCACCTCCCTCAGCCTCTCCAATATAGTCTTTCTTACGTTCATACTGGATGGCCAGATGCGCTT